ACCACAGCAGCTACGACTCTTGCAAGGATTCTTGCCCCAAAGCCGGGGTGTTGGTCCACCATTGCCAAAGTGCGGGATGTATGCACGGGGTGCTGGGTTCACCCTCTGGAGCAAGCTAGTGTTCCTTGCCTGGAGACAGCTGAGGTAGGACTTGTCTAACCAAGTGTGAGCATCTACAAAAGTCAGCGTTTAGGAAAGATTGTGCTTATACTGTGGTTGTGTCTTTTCTCAGGTTTTATTTACTTCATAGCTGTTCCTGCTTTGAGCGGGAGGTTGGACTAGATGACCTCCTGAGGTCCCTCTAACCTGAATTACACTATGAGCCGATGATCTGAACACATCACTGAGCCTCCCTCCATAGTCAGCAAAGAGAAACAAGGCACTTGTAGGGAAGGAAGTCCATCACCTTAAGGTGTAAGTGTGAAATAGCCATTGTCAGGCGAGCTGTCCAGTCAGGGCTCTTTCTCTCCATTGGCTACAAAAGAAACTCAGTAATATCTATAGAGGTAGCAATATCTGCTATAGGTATCTAAAGTCACAGAAATTAATTTCAGTTTGTGTTTGAGGATGTCTTTTGAAGTCTGAATGCAAGTTAGGCTTCCACATAGATAAGCTCTCCCTCTAAATAAAAACAGTTTATCTTTTTTCTAAGAAAAAGAAAGAAAGAAAGAAAGAAAGAAAGAAAGAAAGAAAGAAAGAAAGAAAGAAAGAAAGAAAGAAAGAGAAAGAAAGAAAGAAAGAAAAAAAGCTGCCAAGAGCTGCAGAACTAATGACATGTATTGATCTCTTGAGAGTATGATGCCATGTGCATGATGTCCCATAAGGGGTAAGCTGACCATGTGTTGTTCTCCTCAACCAGCTGATGACAGAGATCACACCTAAGCTCTACAATCCCCCAAACCAGTCTAGTTCCCACTCCATGCATTTATCCTACCTGTGTCCAACATTGTTTGGGGCAGCACTATCTGGCCCATGACAAAAACATGCCACAGACCATGCTTATACTTGAACAGTACAGGGTATTATCATGTACCAAAGCTCAAGACACGTGGTCTGGGTGTCTCATTTATTTAGTGTAAATGTAACTCCAGGACCATTTTCATCTGTGCAGCCATGGTAACTTACAGAAATTTTGTTCTATTCTATTATTATTCTATTCTAGAAGGAAACTCAAGTTGGTTTTCTTTGGGAGAGACAGAATCCTTTATTATACAAAATACCATAGCTGGAAGAAGCAGCAACAATTTGGGGCACTCGTCCATCTGAATGGACAATCTGACGTCTGAAACTGAAGCAGCAAACTTAGGCCAAATGAAAGTTGGGAAAAAAATAGCACTATGTTTAAGTTAATTGTGTTAACTCCAGAGAAAAGTGGCATTTCCAACAAAGACTCAGTAATACCAAACCTCATTAACAGCTTTCAGTATATTTTGTCACCTCTTTACCATCTTATCTCTTGCTAAGAATAAAATTCAGACCAAATTTTTTAACAAACAGATTCACAACAGCTTGTACATTGGGACATGTTTGGCAGTACATGTCTAACAGGATTTTTTCTGCCTCCTGGAAAAGTTCTGTTAAATATTCATGCGTTTCCCATTGAAAGAAACCTGATTCTTGGCCAAACCAAAGCTTGTTAGCAGACAGAACAGGAGGGCTCCTTCGTCCCTGTTACACCTCTGATTCCCGCAGGTTTTGCTTCACACCTGGTCTCTGCAAACAGATACTCTCAAACCCAAGTTACTCCACTCTGGAAATGGGTTATAACCTGAGATATTGCCAATTCATTGCATTTTTTTGAAAGATTGTCTTTTAACTTTTCTGTAGAATTTATAGTTTGTGGGAGTTTCTCATAGTGTTCAGCACCATCTGTCTATCAGAGATGGATGAAAAATATCTGTTTTTAAAAAAGTTCAAAACAAAGCATGAATTTTTCTTTTAACGTTTTGTTCTTTTGACAGAGATCCCACAATTATATTTGCTATTAATGAAAAACACATTTTATTTTTTCCAAGAACCAAAAGTTTTTGGAAATACAAAGGAATAATTTTGAGATGAAAATGAACAGAGAAAATGTTACTGGAGAATTTAATTTGTCTAAGAACATTTTCGTTAAGAACTGTTTTGTAGTCTCGTTTTCTGCTGAAACCATTTTTTATATAGCCGTAAACATGGTGGGGACACAGATTCACAGGAAGGGCTCTGATTTTTCTGGGCACTCAGTACCAGCTGCTGACGAGCTATTTGTGCCCAGGGTCAGGGCAGATGTGTGGGAAACAGAGATGGGAATGAGCTTCCATGTGGGTGGGAGCTGTCATTAGGAAGCAGACTGTCAGCACCTGCTTCAGAAAGGATGAAAGGAGAATTCGTGTTGGAAGGGGCTTTGGAGGTCTCTAGCCTAACCTCCTGCTCAAAGCAGGGACAGCTCTGAGGTCAGACCAGGCATCTCAGAACTTTATCTAGAATAGTCTTGAAACCCTCCCAGGATGGAGGCTGCACTGTCTCTCCTGTCAACCTGCCTCAGTGCCTGACTGTCCTCATGGGGAAGAATTCCCTATTTATACCCTGTCCAAACTTCTTCCCTTTCAACTTAAACTCAAGAGTCTTCCATCTTCCCACCAGGCAGCATTGTGAAGAGCCTGGCTGTACCTTCTTGATGACCTCCCTATAGGTATTGAAGGTGACGTTAGGTGGCCTCCCCTTGAAGCCATCCCTCCTCCAGCTGAACCAGACCAGCTCTCTCAGCCCCTCTGCTCCAGCCCAAACCATCATGCTGGCCCTACGTTGAACTTGTTCCAGTTTCTTGTACTAGGGGGCCCAAAACTGGGCACAATATCCAGACATAGGGTAACAGGTGCTGAGAAGCTGTCTCCTAAGTAATTGACCTTTGACAAGCCTGTCATGGTCTGAGAGATGTGCAAGATGTCACTTTGTCCCTCTACCAGTGGCTGCTGCCCATAACCCTCAGTGATAGAAAATACATACATGCACTTCAGCTGCACTAGAGCAAAGTGGGCTTGAGAAATAGCAGTAATGAGGAGCAGTAGAAGGCCATGCACATGTTCTCCTCTGCTTGCCTATGGAGGGTACTAACTTCCAGTGGACAGGAGGGCTGGAAAATATCAGCTCTCATATAAAGTACTTTGGCCATAAACTTGAAAGCCCTTCCCAAAAGGTGGTTGGGTTGCAATTCCTGTTTTACAAATCAGGCACTGGAGGAAAAAGGGAAGGAAGTGTTTTGACCAAATTCATCTAGCAGCTGCTGGCAGAGCCAGGCAGAGACTCCAAGCACTACCCGTATACTGTGCCATCAGGGTGCCAGGTATCAGCGTCCGGGGGACCTGTGGTTCCCGATTCCTGTGCTGCCTTTCAAAGCAGGGACCAGTCCCTGCCTCCTCCAGGTGCTCTGCTACGCCATGGCAAATTCCTACTTGGAAATCAGGCTGGTGACAGTATAATAACATCCTTCAAACTGTGCAAACTGATGGCTTCAAAGTAGAAGTGGTGATCAGAAATACCATGAATTAGTCATAATCTTATCAAAAATATTTTATTTATGAAAGTAACAATTATACTATACAACCTATATTGGAAGTACATTGAATAATTGCTAGAATAAATACAGGCAATTAATTCAATCTTTTTATAGAATGAGAGGATTTATTTGACATTTGAATGTTAACCCAAGCTTTAACTTACATCATAAATAGTTAATAGGCATAGTCAAGGTTTTTTTTTTTATTTTTACTGTTTCTTTTGTTTTTTTTTAATACTGTTCTATTTTGTAATCAACATGAATCAACTCTCCCATCATTAACATAATATTAGTATGACTTTCAAGCAATCATGTACCTCAAGATAATCAGACAAATAAGGTAGTGTGTGTGCAGTTCATTCTACAGCAGAATCTATTCATGTCTGCATGAAAAAGAGAAGCTGAAAATGCTTCTAAGTTCTTTAAGCATCATATGCTGATTTCTGCTTTACCACAGTGCTTTTAATACCAGAATCTAAAAAGGGCATGTATCTGTATGCAGCTGGCTTTCTGTTGCTCTTTATAAAGTATATTAGGGCTCAATGCCACATTCCTTTGGTTGGTGAAGGATTGCAGAATTTAGTCCTGAATATTATTTATCAAAACCATGGTCCAAAATAAATGTCCAAGACTGATTATTAGGCACCAAGAAAGTGATGGATTTGCTAACACTTGATGTTTTCTGAAAAAAAAAAAAGTTGGCTTCTTTTCTGGTAGATATGCTTTAGTCAAACACAATTTATTGGGCTCAGTACTGGGGTGTATATTACACTGGATGTCAGTGAAGCTGATGTTTGTATTTTCTGTAAACTGTATGAAGGGCACTGCAGAAGTTTTATAGTAAGACACCCACATTTTGAAAGTGTTGATACATTTTCTTTCCATGTATTTTATTTAAGCTCAAAAATCTGAACTATTTGCTTGGTACTAGCAGATTATGAACAGCTACGACCATCAGTGAAGGCAATAGTAGTTTTGGGGGTCCAATATTTCTCCAGATCAGAACCTTTTGACTCCTCAGGTCCCATGTAAAATCAGTGGGAGCTTTCCTATAGCAATGTATTCTCCAACGGTACAGAGGCCTGCCTTGCCTTATGGCTATTGCGCATGCCAGGGATATTATGGTCTCAGCAGAGAAGCAAATTTCCCTTTTACAATGTTATCCAAAACAAAACCCCAAATTGCACATATCTACCCCTTTGGCCTTTTTTATGCACAAATACGCTTGTATTCAAAAACTGACAATATTGGGCCTTTCCTAATAAATGTCTTCAAAGAGCACATTTAAATGCTTTTTCACAGAAATAACCATTCATCAGTTGCAAAAATGCAGAGACACTTTTTATTCTTTCTGTTTTGAACAAAATCAATTCAGCACAAATTTTGGGGGACGAAGTATGATTTTTTCCCCAAATGTATTTAAAAAGGCTGAAGAACATAATGTTGGGGAGGCAGCTTTTTTTTGGCAGATAGTAAAATATAAAATATGTGATTTAGAAAAAAGTTGGCTTAAAAATACACACACACAAATAATACAATAATATAAAAATACAGCTCAGCCAATGGCCTCTTAAAATTTACCTTTGGCATTACATTTGGCAGCCTAACACAAAAGACCCTTCCTATAAACAGAACTATAAAAAAGAGAAGTTCATAAATTAGATTGCAAGGGGTTGTAAGATCCTTTTCTCGATTCTCCAAACTCCTTTCCTTCCTGTCCACACACATAAGCATGACCAGTGAGGTATATAGAACGTAACACTGTCAGGCGTATGCACAGTAAAAAAGTGCATAAACGTAGAAGTTCTCCCATTTTCTTGCGAACAGGTCGAAACTGTGTGGTTTGCATTTCCCCCCCCTTGGAAATAAAAAAAATCATTTTTTATTGTTTTTTTTTCCTTACTTTGGCAGGATGAAAATGAACCCAGAGGAATATAAATGTCCTATTCCCAGCAGCAATGATCCATTTCCCTTGGCAACATTCATTTGATGCCACAGATACTACAAGGTCGTTGGGTTGCTTTACAACTCTCTGGGTAACTTCCCATGGAAACATCATACATCTAGCACCATGTCATAGTGTTGCTCTTTCTTCCGCCTGCCACATTTGATGATAAGAACCAAGTACAAAGTCAAAAGCATAACCCAGTAACATGCATAGAGTATTGTGCCAATGATGAGAACTGTCTGTTTTGACTCAGAAAATGGCTTTTTTGATTCCTTGTAGATAGTGAAAATTACGCCACCTAGGAGGATTGTAAACCAAATGGAGACTGGAATGAGTCCTATAAAATTAACTACAATGGTTTTTCTTCCTGACGTGCCCCACCCTGCTTTGTTTATCGTGGCAATTGCAAACATCTTTGCTGGCAGTAAACTTGACATGTACAACACTGAGTAGAGTGACATGAAAACCATGACAATGTTGCCCCTAAGGAAGCTGGCAAAGGAAGACTTTATAAGGCCCACTAACTGAACTGTCAGCAAGAAGAGGAGGATGTTCCAGATTTTTCCCCTGTAGAAGAGCTGAATGACTGTGGCGATAAGGAAGAAAGGAAAGAATCCAGTGATTACAGCTTCATAGGTCATCCACAAATGGTGCTTGTGGAACCACATTGCATTATAAAGCCACTCTCTAAAGTACGATTTACTCCAGCGGGTCTGCTGATTCAGCCACCTGAGATACTCTATCGGTGTTTCGGTAAGGCACTTGGATCTAGCTGTGTATTTTGTTGCATAGCCCAGACTTAGCACTCTGTTAGTTAGATGCCTGTCATCTCCAAAGCTGCACTGGGAGCCCATAAATTCTTGATTGTACCAATCTTCCACAAATTCATGGAGTAAAGAGTTTCTGTACATTCCCAGAGGTCCACTGATGCACTGTACACAGCCGAAATAGGACTGACAGGCTCTTTCTATGTTAAATGCCATCCAGTATCTCACGCTGCTCAGAAAGGAGATCCAGGAATCATATTTGTTCAAAATCTGCAAAATAAAAAAAAATAATTCATTTTAGATGAGCTCTTGAGACAGAAAATATACACATTGGATCAATAAGGAATTTGCAGAGACTAGAGCACCATTAGCCGAAATACAGGGGGAACCTCACTCCTGTGTCCAACACATAGTGAATCCAGGAGTTACCCGTACAGTCCAGGACATTGACAGGAAGGGCAAGATGAAGCCTTCAAAAGTCTGTTCCACCAAAATGTTCTCTTCTTCCTTGCAACCTTTCCCATTCTCCACCAAGAAACTTTTTTTCTGGCTCATTCTTCCTTTCCTTCCATCCCCAGTTAAGGACCTGCTGGACTCAGCCTCTCCCGAGAGGAGACGGTGGAGTCCCAGATGTGGCCTCCTGCTTCTCTGCCCCCTGCACACATCTTTGGGACTCACAGGACTTCTTCCAGCCCTCCTAAAGCTATGCTGGAGCATGAGAAAGGCTGAGCACATGGTCTTTGGGCTACATTTTTGGAATCATAAGGCTGGCCCTAGAGGTTTGACTCTGGACTATGTCCCCATATCTGACATTAGGCCCTCTGAGGAACAACCTGTTCTGATTCGTCTCTGCAGTACCAGCCCTGTTATGCTGCCCCAAGACATACTGTCATACTCCAGTAGAGTCTTGCTTTGGCCTGCATAAAAGTATTAGTCTTTCTCTTCTGTATGCCCCAAACCTCACCTGAACCTCAGGCCTACACTTAAAATACAACATAGACATAGTCTAGGAGTCTGAACACTCACGAGAGCTATAAGCGTGTGCAGATGCCCAAGTCCATGCCTTCACATCCAGGTTCTCAGCACACACCTTGTGCTGGGGAATGTGGCAAGGAAGTGCGTAGCAGGGTGGCTGTGCTAGCTCTGCACCAGTATCTTCTCAGTGTGGGGATTTTCAGGGGAATCTGTGGCCTTTTATAACTAGAAAGCACTTTCCTGCAACTAGAAAGAAATAGTCTTTTGCTCTGATGGCCCTAATTTCTGTCAGGTTTGAAGGCCAAGGGCCAATCTTGTCTCTGTTTCAATTTAATTCCAGAACATTTTAGAAGCAGCAGGGCTCAGGAGTAGGCTCAAGCTGGCTCAAATATATTTGGTGTATGCTGGAAAGTGAATTGGGAGAAAAAAAAAGCCCAGAACCTTCCCACCTCTCTCTCTGCAGATGCTTATGAACCTTCACTGTCACAGCTGAATCCATACTGTCTCCTTCCAGTTGTACTCATGTGCCTGGCATCTGACACGTGTAGGGTGAGTGTGACGCCTGGTTCGTGGTCAGTCCAGAGCCGCAAAGATATTCAGGCTTCTGCGGGTATCTTAATTTCTGGAATTAAGAGCCACATGCCTGAAATACTTCTGACTACCGGGGCGTTCATTAGTAAGTGCTTGCCCATATAGATGGCCCTTTCTCCTCTGTCTCACATAAAAGCCTAACTGAGTACAGGGGATCAAACCTAAGGCCAATTGAAATATTCACATGCATTTTTCTTTATAAATTGCAGCAGAAGCAATTGTGTCAAAAGGAATTAACAGCCTTTTGCTGTAGTTGTCAGCCAAACCCAGCAATACTGGAAATCCTGACGGAAGTGGAGCTGGGCTGACCTGGGGGCTTTCCATTGTCCTGCCTGACAGACATGCAGAGGAAACCCAACAATACACAGAGCGCATAGTGCACTGCATTTCAAAAAGGCTGTTATTCCTAACTATCTTGGCTGACAGTGGTAACATAATTGAAGTGCTTGGGGTGCTGGACTTGGCTTTGGAAGACCTGTTCTCAATTCCCTGTTCCCCTATAGTTTTTCTTTGGTACCCTGAGCAAGCGGTTATACCCAGAGACTCAAAGGTGCAACAGTCCTGACAATGCCAGTGCCCCACTTTTCACATATATAGGGGAGAATAATATTGGTTTGTTTTTTATGGGTGTTAAAACCATACAGTGCTCACATCCAAGAATAAGAGTTTCTGTTCAACAGACAGAAGGGTTAAGGTATCATAAGAGCCTCTATAATGGTATCATAGTATATTCAATGCTGTTCCAGGCAGGGAAATCTGTTGCAGTGCAAACAGTTGCTGAAACCCCTCTGTTAATCTGAAAATTGTCATACTTGCCTGCACATCACCTCCAACTCCTCCAACCATTGGATCTTCTTCTAAAACCTTTACCATCTCCACTGATGAGGCTGGATCAAGCATTGTATCTGAATCACAGACCTACAAGTAAGACAAAACAAGAACAAAAATGGGTTAAGGAGTACATTAGAGAAGAAAATAAAAATCATGTAAGCGATTGTAGTGACTCTAAATGCATATTCTCCTGAATGCAATTAAATCTCACTTTGGAGTCTGCATTGATACTTCTGTTAAAGGCCACTTGTATCAGGCAGCAAGGAGTAGTGCTGAATGAAACAGCGTACTTGTTAGGGCTGTGCACACAAACAATCCTCTCTTCTGTATCAGCTCTATTTCTTTTACTGGCACACTGGGCTGGCTTCTTCGAATAAGCGATACGCTCTCAGAGATGGGGCACGCCAGAGCAAGACATTGTTTGTGGGTGTGTGGCAGATTCC